TCATCGTAATCGGATAAGTGATGTAGGAGCGCATAGCCGGATACCCAGCAAACATTGATTTCGCTGAAAGGTTTTTCGGTAACTGTCGGCTATCGTATTGTCACCGTTCCGTTTTTCCGGTTGGTTATTATTTTTTTGTTTATTTTATATGTTATATTATAATTTTCTGTATTATTTCTCATTTCTGACAACTTTTGTGCCTGTGAGTTTGAAAAAGCAAAGTATAATGGAAGTCGAAAAGAGAATACGAAGAATGTAATGCCCAAGGTTCCTAAATATTAATTGCTTGTAATAGGTTGTTTGGTAAGGGCAAACAGATGACGTCATCGGGTGGTTCCTATGGAGATTTGCATTGTGCTTAGGCATACAGTCATAAAAGTTATCAGGCAACCTATCTCTTTCAAGCAACCTTGTGGGATGCCTAAATCACAAAGTTCCAAAGTCACTGCATGTCTTCAATTGAATCACTGTCAACCGAAGATCTACAGACCAGTTATCCAGGGTTGGGAACGGAACACTCTCCAAAATGGATAGGTGATTTATGGCCGTTTGCACCGACCATTTTAAGGAAACAAGCGATAAGTATTCCTTAAAATGACATTTCTACATGGATAAGTATCACTTTAAGGAATACTTATCGCTAAAGCCTACTACTCATAACTGCGAAATTCGCATTTTTTGACATTGCTTCGATAATTTGACGTTTGATTCACGCATATAACGTCAAATTATCGAAGCAATGTCAAAAAAGTGCGAATTTATGAGTAATAGGCTTAAGGCTTCCTCAAAATGGTCGGTTCAAACGGCCATTATACATTAGTCTGCGTTCCAAGTCCCATCTGCTACCAGTGCAGCCGGAGCTCGGTTCGGATTGGCAGCTCCTTTTACTTTTTCAACACTTTTAGCTCTTAAGTAGGGATGCCACCTTTGAAAGTAAGTTGAACCAGAGAAAAAAAAAAAACATTATTGCAAGAAAGCTGAAAAAGAAAATCTGCAGATCTACAATGCAACAGATGCATTACACTTTACTATCTGTCTATATGTATATACACAAGTCCCCACCCCCAGCATCGCCGGATGTTGCTCGAGGAAACTTTGCTTGAGGTTGGGAGTTGAGACGGTTGGAGAAGAAGATTCAAGAATATTACACACTAAACAGGATAGCCTATCCTCATAAGACCTGTGTAGATCAATT